GCAAATACATATATATGACTTTTTTAGGGATTTTTTTTTTTTTATGTCACTGCTGTAAATGTAAAAACAGCAGTATCTGTCTAAAAGCAGTGAGCATTGTCTTAAGTTGCACTGAATTGCAGTATCATGAAATACACAATGTTGCTTCATACTTTGGTTCTCTCTGTACTGTCTTCCCTTGACACATACTACCATATCATAAGCCAGTCCACAGAATTATCATAAACTTCGTCAACATCACTTTAAAGAGTGAGTTATCAGTTTCATGTTTGATGGGAGCCTTTACCTCCCTACGCTGGACGAACAGGGTGACATAAGTTGACATTGCATTCTGAACAGTGTGTTCTGTGGGTTGGTTGGGGGTTGGGGTTTTTTTTACATTTTTAAAGCAGGGCTTTATATTGCTTTGAGCTTTCTTGTGAAGATCTTTGTATGCATACTGAAGTAGGAATGCCTTGTCTGTCTTTACTCAATAAATACTATCTAATCCCATTCAGCTGTTGATGCCCTGCTTGCAGCCATTTTGTTATAATTGAATAGAGCCCTGAGACGATCATAACTGTTTTCCTTCATAGAAAAAAAAAGAAAAAGTTTTTAATTATATAGCCAATGTTTCTGGAAACAACTTGGTTGTTAAAAAATAGAAAGAAAACCTACCTATACTTTTTTTTTCACTTGAAATTTAAAAATTACTGTTCAGTTAAATACACAGATGTGCATGTGAAACTCCAAAGGTAATAGTAGTTATTTAATACATAAGCAAATATTTCCTTGACTGAATTTATCCCTCTGCAGAAGATCATACATATCTATTGTTTTCTCAGGTCTGTAGTTTTGATGTCTGTCAACAGTGTCAGTGAAATATTACAAAGGAGTTTCACTATGTTTTCTTTTTTTTTCCCAGACACACATACAATTTATAAAAATTAAATGCAAGGTTGGGTTTTAGAGGTGATATTTCTATGTTGTAAACATTAGACTAATTATTGCATTTAGTTCAATAGGTCCATAAATACCTGTTGTCCCTGTTCACATTTATTATATGTATGCAAGCAGATTTTCTGCAACAGTTGGTATTGAATCGTACCTTAGAACAATAGTTACACTGCTTATTTATCCTACAAGACATTTTTCTGACTGTTATACACAGAGATTTTAAAGATCCAAACTCATGAAGCGATGAGCTGATAATTTTTTCAAAAGCTTATATAAGAGTTTTCAAACACACTGGACATTGCAAATGTGCTGCTATATAGGGGATAAATATTCTGTGGGATATGCTACAGGAAAGCATATTTGACATCCAAAGATGGACATCAAAGCCTATTTTTATTACAGCTTTTCACAACAAGGGACACACAGTGGCTCATTCTAATTTATGGCTGTTGTATTTTGGCACTATCCGAAAGAAGCTGATAATTATATTCCTGCAAGAGCTGTTCTTCACACTGCAGGAGGAAAAAAAAGATAAAATCCACAACTAAAACCAAAATACAATTCAAACTTCTGCTTCAGGCAGTTGTTACCACCTGGCACTGTTTCTGCCATTCTTCAAAGACTGTGCAATGACTTGGAAAGGAGACTGAAGAGTTCTGCCTGTCCTGCAGACTGCCTTGCAACTCGACACAATGTGATGAACTATAATTGTTTTTCCATGAAGGAAACAGAAGTGTTTTATTTCTAAAACTGTCACTTCAGTTTAGTATAAATCTGATATGAAGGACAGAAATAGTAATTAAAAGTTAGGAGGGTTTAAAGGACATCAGTCTTGAATTTTTAATAATAATTAATAAATTATTATTATTATTACTGTTATTATTACTACTACTACTTAAATAATCCTGCCTCATTATGCTAGTTCCTTGACAAGGTGTATTTTTTTTTCCTTTATTCTTTAGCAACTTAATAGGATCCTACATATATCATCCTTAGATTAAAATGTGTAGAAGTTACACTGTTCTACAAATCTGCAGAAAATTAGTCTAATTTGATTGTTCTTGCTGAAGATCTTGTGCCCAACACCCCATTTTTCATAGCTGCAAGTAGCAATCCCTAACTACCTTTAACTTTTTGAGCTAATTTGAGTGAGCTAATTTGCATTTCATGTCCAAGAGAGCATTTTAGAAGGACTTCAGAAAATGAAGGTTTTATTTTATTTTCTACTCAAGAGGAAGAGAACTTGAGCCTGGTTTTTGATTAAATGTGTTGAAGTGTGCTGATTTAGAAGGTCAAAGTATGGCTTTTCTCCGCACTTCAGCATAAGGACGAAATATTTAGTGCTTCTTAAAATAGAATCTACATTAGCACTAAGGATGAGACCTGAAATAAAAAAGCTTCTTGCTTTTCCCCTTTTCATAGGAAAATTGAAAATCTTGTTCTTAAGCATATCTTCATGTAGTTCATAGTCACTTAGCCTGTTGGGATGCATGTTTATGCTGTCATTGCAGGTACTGATTGTCATATTCTGCCATGAAAATGATTTCTAACTAAGCAGCTGTAACTAAGAAGGTGTTATCACATTATTACACACAAGCAGTATATTGCAGTTGCTGCAGAGTTCATTGCCTGGCAAAAGCAGTTGCTTTCATACTGACAGCAGCATGGGCTTCAGATGCAAATTAACATGGCACTGACTTGAAAATTCCACTTTCTCCTTTATACGTGTTACAGATTAATTTCACAAAGTGGACTGTTCATGTTCTTTTAAATAGAGAAAAACCTCCAGTTACTGAATTTATGGTGTATGAAAGAAAGCTCTGACTTGCAACAGTTTTCCTACGCTTCTGCTTTTAATAAACAATTCTTTATGCAGGAGATGAGTCTTCCTTACCTGCAGAGTTTATCTCTAATTATTTGGCGTGAAAGACACAGCAGCAAGGAGATTGCTATTTGCAGTTAAGTTGTGAGTCTTTGACTGGGGGAAAAAAAAAAAAGGAGAACTGGCATCTATGTTGTTTTGTTCTCTTCTTTCATGCCGGATTTTGTTCAAGGGGCTTTAGTCGCTGCTGGTTTTTTGTATGTAAGATTACTATTTCTTTGTACTTTCTTCTGCCCCTTTTTTCCTTTTTCTTTCTGTATGTTAATAGATATATGGTATGTATTATTTGTTTCTATATATTAAATCTCTTTTTTAGGAGTTTTGCTACAAAATAACAAAATGGTGACATTTGTAGGAGTTTCTTTATGACTTCTTTTAACATGCTGTTTTGGTTTCAACCCTTATTTGCTGCCTGACTGTATAGGGTATTTCTGTAACGGGGCTGGGGGGAAAGCACATTCCAAAGGGGAGATGGCATTGTCTTTATTCTATGTTACAAGTAAAACCAGTAGTTTAACAATCCCAAGACTGAGTGCTGAACTCACATTGCTATTGTTTGCTATCCACAGCAGACTGTGAAGCAACATAGACTATTGTATTTTAACAAACTAAGAGCAAAAGAAGCACAGTGCCTTCTAAGGGAAAAGTAGAGAAGAGATGAAGGAAAGTGTCACAGTAAGCCAGGGAATTAAACTGAAATAACAGGATGACTAGGTCTTGGTCTTCTGATAGACAAAGGATATAAAATAAAATGCCACTTGTGTGAATTGCAGAATCCTCACCTCATCCTGAGTACAGGTTCCAGAAGTTTACTGAAAGTGAAAGAATTTAAAAGTAACAGCAATAAAGGTGGCAGTGATATGGCCTGATATGTTTATGAAAGGAAAAACTATTATTTTTTTTTTTCTTTTAAACCTAACCTGATGCGGGAATGAAAGACTGAAATGTTGCTCAGTAGAATACAAGTGAGAAAATGCTACTAAGTGAGAGAAAATGCTACTAAGCATTTTGAGAAATGAGAGAAAAATGCTACTAAGTCAGTGGGAGCTGGGTCACCCTCAGGACAAAAGAAATAGTCTTGTGATTGAAAAGATGCCTAATACACTGTATAATAAAAGGAACATTTTTAACGTGGCAAATGTAATGCTGTGCCCTTAAAACTAATATGACATGAGGGTGACTGTTGATTCATTATTTTGGTGAGCATTTGAATTTGTTCTCTACTTTGCATGCCAGCTTTGCCCTTTCTGAAATTATAATCCATCTGAAACATACTTAAACTACAAAGTACTGCAAAGGGAGGGGGAAATCAGTCGTTTCTGGACTGATGACTGTAACAGTGTTTTCATACCCAGTTATAATGCAGAACTATTTGCTTTTCACCTTTTGTGTAAATAAATAAGAACTTCTAAAATATGTCTGTGCAGAACTGACAGTTGAGTGTATTAGTTTCTAGCAGGTAGTGAGGACAGGTGATAATGAGCACTTAACTCCCATTAAAACACCTTTGAGAGTTTCAGCTTTATGGTTCCAAGTGTGTTTACAAAACAAGATTCCTGAGCAGATGCATTTTCAGTTTCACATTCTTTCTGGATAGGAGACAACAAAAAAATCGTATCTGTGAATGAAATAGTACAGTGCACCTGCTCTGTAAACACCACTTCTTGCAGAGCTGTGCTAATTACAGTACACCCTTGTTGTTTTCCCACTTTCCCTTCTGAACTGTTGGCTGCAAGTGATCCTGTATCTACATGAGAAAGTCCCATGCTACTCTGCCTAATTACCGAATCGTTTTTCCCCTTTTTGAATTAAGAAATGCTGCCAAAATTTACACCATGTGTAATATGGAAATAATTTCTTTTGACATTATGAAATTATCCCACATTTACTGTGACATAATTTATTTCTTTAAGTAAATACTACAGTTCAGGAACAGTATTACTTCCTGATAAAATTTTAATTAATGCACAAGTAAAAACTGTGGTTTATGTACATTAGTCAAATATGAGTTGACACTTATCTAGCCTTTGTCAGCATATCTGTATTTGTTCATTTGCATTCTGTCTTTTCAATTATGTGAAGCTTTTATGTTTGAGAGAAATGTATTTTTAAATTTTCATCTATGACTGAACTCTCTGTACCTTGTATTTTTGGTTGACTCTAGTCTCCCTTCTCTTTGCAGTAAAGGGTTGCCTTCGAGTTCATTATTCACTTTAGAAGACAGTGCCATCTATTTGACTTCAGAACAGAGCACACTGGAAATGGAAAATGATAATGCTTCAGTTTTGGATGTCTACTTGGTAAGTTGTCAAACTGTTTCTGATGGGCTTTTTTCTACTGTAATTCCTTTGACTCCTAAAATACATGCCCAAACTCAAGATCCAGAGGTTCACTGAGGTATTTCTTATATGAGATATATGCTTAAGTCCCTTGCCAATCCGAATCCTTCAAAAATCTGTGTGCTTGTTAACTATTGTGTTAATAATGAAATGTGACAAAATGCTTTTCCTTTTTTCTTGAATGGTAGGGTTTTTTCCTATTATTTGTTTTCCACAGGAGGAAAAAAAAAAAATCTTTCTTCTTCATGTTGGATATGCCACAATGTAGAAATTAAATTTTCTCAGAGAGTAAACTTCTATGTTTACATAAGTGATTTTCAAGCCAGTGAAGCAGAGCTCAATATGAAGTACATTAACAGCTTCCCTTTCTGCTCTGAAGGGTTGTCCAGTTGTGGTGGCTGGAATATGATTAAAAATGTATTTTTTCTTTGCTGTTTTGGTAACTAGTGAGCAGTTTATCTGAATGCTGAAAGATAAGCTCAAGTTTGTATCTTTGGTTGTCTTTATATCACCTGTGTTTTAATAATTCTCTTGCTATCTACAGCTCACATTCCACTGACATAAAGGCAGTAGGCACCCAACTCCAGTTCCAATTGAGTGAATTTTTGTGCATCTAACCCTTTTAGGCCGTTTTGAAAATGTCAGTATGAGTATAGGAGGGAGGTATGTTAAGCTTGGCTTTCTTCCCATAGGTTTGTTTTCCTAAAGCACAAATGTTGTGATTTGATGTGTTCCTTGCATCTGGGCAGGAACAACCACAGGTTCCAGTGTGAGTTGGGGAATGACCTGTTGGAGAGCAGTGTAGGGGAAAGGGATCTGGGAGTCCTGGTGGACAGCAGGATGACCATGAGCCAGCACTGTGCCCTCGTGGCCAGGAAGGCCAATGGCATCCTGGGGTGCATTAGAAGGAGTGTGGTTAGTAGGTCAAGAGAGGTTCTCCTCCCCCTCTACTCTGCCCTGGTGAGGCCACATCTGGAGTACTGTGTCCAGTTCTGGGCCCCACAGTTCAAGAAGGACAGGGAACTGCTTGAGAGAGCCCAGCGTAGAGCCACAAAGATGATTAAGGGAGTGGAGCATCTCCCTTATGAGGAAAGGCTGAGGGAGCTGGGTCTCTTTAGAATCACACAGAATCAGAGAATGTGAGGGACTGGAAGTGACCTCAAAAGATCATCTAGTCCGATCCCCCTCCCTCTCCCCCCCCCTTCCTAAATGAGATTACACAGGAAGGTGTCCAGGTGGGTCAATACCCTTCAGCTGACCCTGAAACAACGGTTAGCCTCTATTTCAGAAAGTCTCATACTAGAGGATGTGATGTGTGTTATCAGTTTGATTCACTGCTGCTGAGGTAGAAGGCAGTTTTATTTTTACAGGAAGATGATTAAATGCAGTCTAGAAGGGAAAGATGCATGTTTTTGAGAACACTAGGAACAGGTCAATCATTTCTAATGTGCATCTCAAAAATGAGGCAAATCAATGACGTTTGCTTTAGTTGATTTAAGCCTCAGTTGAAAAGGTTGCAAGATATGTTTTGACCTTTTAAAAGAATGGTGAGAAAATGTAGTTTTAAATGGCATTCCCAGATTTTCCTTTAATCCCATAGTTAATAATCTGCAAGGCAGCCTGCTGGAGTCTTACCCACTAGATATTATAATGAAAAATATCTTAACTAGCTTAATTTCAGTCACTCCACTATCCTTTGATGTCTTTGCCGCCTCCTTTGAAGTGTAAACCTCTTGGACAAATTTTAGTTCAAATTTAGTAAATTAAGAGATACGAATTTTTGATTCCATGAGTGGAAAAAAAAAAAAAGACATTGTGTTAAAATAATATTGTGCTAGCTTAGTATAAAAAAAAGCTTAAAAATAGCATTTGGCTGAACAGTGTTGTATACAAATTCAGACAGTCAAGTAAAGTAGGCTGGAGCAGAGCTTGTTAAAAAAAAAATTAAAAATCCTGTTACAACTAATAGTATTTTTTGGGAGATGTTACATTAAAGGAAACACCATGATGCAGACTCACACTGTGCACCTGATGTCAAAGATGAGACTTCACCTGGTAACAGCAAGAATTTTTGTTCCAGGACACAGGTACAGAGACATCTTTAGTTTGCAACTGAAGGACTGGTCTGGGCCCAGAGTTTCTCGGTTCTGAAAAAAGACCAGGTTCAGCAAACCAGCATTTTGTGCCTGTGCCACTCTAAGCAGTGCTGTTAGGAACATCCTCAAATCCAAGTTTACTTTAAAATTCTATTGGTTTATTTTCTCTTAAATATTTTAACCCAGATAATAACTTAAGAAATCTAGGTTTTATGAATAAAATATGACTAACCAGGATCTGCCCTAAGCAGTAAATATAAGCCAATCTAAATTATTTCCAGATATTCTAGTACCATACAGCAGGAAACAACTACTGAATATTCTATAAAAATAATTTCAATTTTTAATTAAAGATTGCAGAAAGATAGGAGCACATACATAAAATAGTTGGAAATTTGAAGTGTTTCTCTGCAGAGAGTTAAAACATTAAAAGGTTCTTGCTTTTATTAACATATAAAACAATGATAGATCAGATACTTAGAAGCAAAAGATTCCATCTGAGATAAACAGGTGTCCTGTGCATAAGCCAGTAAGAGAGAAGGTAAAACTCTTGTATTTAGCACTTTGATGTAGAAATACAAAAAACCAAGGGAGAAAAACAGTGTTTCCTTCTTCCTTTAGAAATAAACTTAGTCTCTTTTTAAAATTCCCCTGAACCCTTATTTCTTGGTGTCAGTTCAGGCAGCATCACCTGATACATACGCAGAAAGGCATTAAATGTCAGCAAACAGTTAAACAGAAGAGTCTACTGTGTTCTATGGAATTTGATTAATAGGAAACATAAGCCAGTCCTGCAACAAAAGTTTCTTAAGTTTGCTCACTAAATTTGTATATAATTTACAAGTCACTACCACTGAAGATATGGTTGCAAAGGATTGATAAGGGGCTTCATAAAAATAAAATAATGGAGTAACTGTAGTGATGAGGGAGCCCAGTGTATTTAGTCTGGTTAGTATAGCTATTATTTGTGTCCAATGCATTGCGTAGATAGTTTTATTACATTTAGAATTACTTATGTTGTGGTTTATGTCCAAATACCAATTTTATTATAGGATTTTCAAGTCTTAAAACATTGCTGGAGATTAATTTTGTATTTCAAAGCTGCTGTAGATGCATAGATAAGCAGATTTACAAATATAGGTCTATAAAATGCCTGTTTAGAAACTGTCAAAACTGTCTGCCTCTTCTCACTCTTAGTGCTCTTCCTCTTTTCTTCTGTTCTCACTCCCACAGTTCTATGTTAAAGCCTGTGTCTTTGAGCATTTCCTAGTTGATACTCAAACCCTTCCGACTGACAGGTTATTAGTCTAACAGGTATTAGTCTAACTCCTCATCTTCACGGTTGCTTTCTCTTGCAAATATTTTCACCCCTTCAGCTATTTTCAGTTTAGCACCCTAAGCTCTCTGATCTAGTATAAATTCTTTCAGAGAAGAAAATTCCCACCTGACCCTGATCAAATGCAGCACCCTAGTCAGATACAACTTTGGCTAGGGGGTTGTACTTCCACCGTAACTCCTTGACAAGGTGTCTTTTGACATTCAGAAATATTTTGCTTCTCAGTCTTTCATAACATTTGATTCAGTTCTAATCATGTTGTAGTTTTCTTCAAGGTGCTGTTGTGGAGTAATAATGAGTGTTGCTGAAATTAAAGCAGTTCCCAGGCAGGATACATGTAAAAACAAGCTAAAAAGTGTACAGTCACACTGTGCTGCATACCTCAAATTTTGATATGTTGCTCTGTTTCGTGAGGCTTCAGTTTCTCTGCCTCACCATTTACTCTGAAGATACTGATGGGAAAACATGGTAGATTGAACATTAATTCTAGGCCTATGAGAAGGGAATTCAGACCTCCTTACTTACAGACATCCTTTCTTTCCCCTGAGACCAGAAAAATCCTTAAAATGCTATGTGTGCATACTGGAACCAATGGAGCACTTTCCTCAAAGTAGAATCCTGTTTAATTCAACTTTTCAGTCACCCTTGCTTGAAAATCAGACATGGGAATTATGTGCTTGATTAGATTATAAAGTTACCATTTCAGATTACAAGTAATACATTACCTGAGTAAGCCAAGTGATAAAATGCCCACATATATTGTCATTACACTAGCCTGCCCTGAGGCTTTTCATGCACCGTATGAGGAAATCAATCATCTGAAAAACAAATCCACGAAAAGAAACTGGAGCACAAAAATGCTCCAATAGAAAAAGCCTCAAGTAGGCTCAAACATTGTAAATCCATTATATACTCAGTGTGAGATATCTCAGATAGTGATTACAGAAATGCATCCTGTAGTATTATTTGTCCATTATTTATCATTTCGACACAATAGCTATGGCCAAACTCAGTCTCTATCAGGAAATAATGTTTCTTACATCTGTAATCAGTTACCCCAAAAGTTGTGCAGAGCTTACGGAGTTGCTTGTCCTGTGCCTTGAAATAGATGGAGGTTTTTCCAGAGCATTATGCACAGAACTGGGCAGTACCTGACACAAAGATGAACATCTGAAAATCCCACCACCTTAAAATGGCACCAGTACCATGAACAGTGTTTCTGTGACTGACTCATGCAGTTAGCAGTTGCTACGAGTTTTTGTCAAGTCTGTTTTCTTCAACTGTTATGCAGATTTTGCAGAATAAGCTAGTTGTAATTGCATTGTGTAATTAGTAGAATAGCATAAAGCTAGTATCAGCAATGCTGCTAGTCTCCTTAGAGAGTGCAAAGTAGTGGTAAGGCCAGAAGGGTCTGAATTTGCATTGAGACACCATTATGTCTGTCAAAAATGGACCTGCAGTCATTCAGAGCTGAGCTTTCAGCCAGAAACTAGGTGGTGCAAGTGAAAATTTTGACCAGTTTGTCTTGTTTATCAGTACTAGCATTTTTCAACTTTTTGCCAAACTGATTCTTAAAAAAGTTTTTTTAAAAAATCCTTGTTACCCTTATGTCACCCTCTTTTTAAAATATAACCTTCTTTAATTTTCCTTACTTGCCTACAATTTCACTTTGCATATTAAATTGTTCTGCATCGTATAAGTACATACTACTTTACTCCCTCAGCACATTCAGGTGCTAATATGGCAGTAGACAGACTTTCATTGCCAGACCACAGCTATCTAGAAAGAGAAAACAGCTTCTGAGAAATTAGCACTATGCTCACTAGCGTCAATCATTATGAACACCCTAACACTGGTTCACAAAACAGTAGCAGATTTAAAGGTTGACAGAGAATGATATTGAAATATCGTTCTTCAAGGCTCAAGGTCTAGTGCAGGAAGTCATAACTAAAATATTGATTTAAATCTACTGGTTACCTTTTTCTCAGATAAGCTTTAAAAATGCCCTTGGAGATTTGTTGTTGTTCATAGTCCAGATTAGATTGTTGTTTAACTATTTAAAGATTAATTTAATGCTTGTATTGAACAGTATAATTTAAAGGTGACCTTAAAAATATGTTTAATATTTGGGAACATATGCCTTCATTATATTTTTTAATAAGGTTTTAGAGTAAGGTCACTATACATGTCTTTGTTCTGGTTTTGTGTCCTGCTCCATGTTGCATACATTAGCTGAGATACATTCAATTTACTGCAGTATTTTGTTCAGCTGTCAGTTTATCCTTAGTTAAGGGATACACTGACAGCTGAACATAAGGGTCATTAAGAGTCGCACCAATAAGGTGTTCAGCAAAGAACAGTTTCTTTTCAATTCATCTCTGACTCCGTAGAGATGCTGAGAAGTGATCAACTATTTGTACTGCGTAACCACTGCTTCTGTAGACCATACTGTAGAAGACTAATTCATTAACACTATTAAGTTTTGTTTTAATTAAATAGAATGATTGCTGTGACATTGACAACAACATTGGCTGTGCCTGAAAGCTTTTGGATAGGTATGATTTTTCAACCAGGGAAGGGTATCATGTGGAAGCTAACAGGACTTTTATACGTGACGCACAAAGACTGCAGGTTTTCCCATAATGGTTTTAAGTAACAAGGGCCACAGTCAGTTCTGCAAGGTAGTAAAAGCTGTTGTGAACTGCTGAGTGCTCTCAGTTTGGACTGTCTTCTCTGACGTCCAGAACACCCAGCGTTTTGCAGCAGCAAGTGGTTCTGTTTCATGTCATACAAGTGCACTCCAATCTCTGCAAAACCATAGAGTCAGCTCTTGTACAAGAAAGCAGACCAAAAGCTTTTGATTAGGGGGCAAGGTAAGAAAAGAATTACTGCCAAGCTGTGCTGCAGCCTGTTCAGAGGAAGAAAGATGTACCTGTTTATAATTGTGTAAGAAAACAAATAACCACAACTCTTAACTTCACTCATCATTCTGTATTTCCAGTAACAAAGAATACCTGACGAGTAAACTAAGGGAAGTGACCATGGTTAAGGAGGAGCACTTTCTGCACTCCTGATTTAAGAAGGAGGAATTTGCTGAGCCTAACAGACAAAGAGTAATAATCAACTGAACTTATGCTAAGAAGCACCAGTATCTTTGAACCATAGAAAGGATTGATGGACTTCACAAAAATGACGTGAAACATTCCACACTCCGCTATCATCTGCTGTTGCTTGCTGAACTGTGAAGAACTGTGTATTCAGGCTGCTTTCTACTATATTGCCAATCACCTTTTTTGGACTTGAAATTGATATTTTATTATCAGCTCTCTGGTGGTTTAATTTGCATGCATTTTGTACCTATGCACAAGCAAAATCTGTTACCTGCTTTACCTATTTAAAAATAAGCACAGTGGTGAATAAAATTAATTTCATTTGTTTTGACCCTTCAGTTCTAATTACTTAGTTCCATATCAGTGGAAATTAGAATTGATGTCATACAAGGGTTAGGGTAAACCTCTGCACATCCTATATGAAAATGAGCCTCTAAAGATATTTTCAGTGATGGTGAAAAGGAGAAAAAAAAGTTATTTATAACAAGGCCTTATGTTGTGTACATATATTGTCTTTGAAACATTTTTGATTTTAGTTTATATCTTGTAAAAGAGAAATTATATAATTTATTTAGTAAATTCTACTGTAAACTATAGTTTTATTAATGAATAAAATATTTTGTTCTCAAGACTATGACAGCTGTCAACCTGTTCTTGATCTGTACAGCACTTACTGTTCTGGTATTTCATCACCTTCATGACATGGTCTTGAGAGGCATCTCAAATGATATGACAATCACTCTGTAACATGGCATCTGCCTTTATCTTCTACCAGCTCTATAACGGAGGGGGAAATCTTTAAATTAGAGCAGAAAAGGCAAAGGAACATATTCAGCAGGCATTGCTTCATAGAAGCATTTCAGGTCTTTCAGAATGGGCAATCATTTAAGGTAACTATAGAAAGTGTTCTGGTTTCCTTAATTTTCCTAGCAGCACAGAGATAATCCCAATCACCAGTGACCATCAGTCCAAGATTTCATGCTTTGATAATGATGGTGTATTTAAAAACTACACAGCTGTCACTTTGAGTTACGGAATTTATTGGTAATAACATTTCTGCTAGGAGTAAGCATAGCAAACCTGCTGGATTGGCAAAACTGGAATTTTACACTTTAATTCCTAGAATTATGCTTTGTACCTCTGAAGAATTTTTAATTTAAGGTTTTGGTATGGGTTTGTTTTGATATTTTTAATTGCTTTGACGTAATCCTATAATCCTGACAAGGAGGAAAGTATTATTTCTTAATTGCGCACAGACTAGAGAAATTGAAACATTGGGGTTTTTTTTTCTCCAAGTATGTAGAGTCTCTGGCTTAATTTGGAGCCTGTGTCTCATGATTACATCTTTTACAGGCTTTAAAATTAGATTGCTTAATCTTAGCAAGATAATTCTTCTACAGCATTCCTCTTAGAAATGCAAGAGACCAATCTGCACATCCTGTGAGCAAAAACATTTTGCACATCTGTGTGAAATGTCTACTCCTTCATGCACAGTGTATAGCATATCTAGAATATGTCTCTGTGCAAAGTATGTAATTATGATTAGTCTTATTGGGAGAAAATAATGAAATTTCTTACTTTATGCACCGGATTAACCTTCATAAAGCACATACATGTCACTTTTTTACCACTTACCTAGCAGACTGTAGTGTCTGAGTCATTTGTCCTTAGGAAGACCCCAGAGGACACACAACTTTACTGCAATGATTCTGTCCAAAACCAGAATGTCTGTACGAAACGATTCAGAGACTGAGCCAGCCTTTATGTAGAATCCCTTTAACACAGTCATTTAGAAATTGAAACAGTCATCTAATGCTTGCAAAAGGAAATCCTGTATAGACTGTGGAGCCCACTGGGAAAACCTCCAAAGTATGTACACTTACAAGGCTTTTTTGTGTGTGTGTGTGTGTGTGTGTGTGACTGCGTGGTTCCACTGAAAGGGAAGAGGAATTACAGCTAAGCAATGTTAATGATCAACACCTTGGAACCCATTTCTTTCTCTAACACATGAAATGATATAAAGCTTCAAACATCAAAGAGTGCAGGAGCTTGTAAGTATGTATATGTTTCATGCTTAAATATTTTGCTTCTCTTCATCTTGCATTGGTATTTCATATTAGTACCACTTTGATGAAAAAGTAATGACTATTAAACATATCTAGAAAACTAATGAGGCAGTGCATGTCAGGTAAAAATGAAACATATACAGAAGGCATAATAAATTCACTGGGGTATTAAAGTAACGTATTGGTCTCTTTCTCCAGGTCTAAACAGATGGAACGCTCCACAGGGAGTAAAATTTGAAGAATTGGGTCACAGACGTGGGCTATCTCTGTGCAGTGGTATCTGAATACTCTGGCCCTGCATGCTACCCAGAAGGAAAAAAAACACAGGTTGATGTGCTTAGAGTAAAGCCGGGAATAACTCCGAATTTGTATATCTGACCCTGTGACTTAATCATATGGCATTCAGAGGGCAAGTTTTGCCTTCTGTGGTAGCATGTAATAGTTCTCAGTTTAAAGAAAAAAACTAAACAAACAAAAGAAAAAAAAAAAACCCTTCCCGTCCTTGTCCTTGCATTCAGTGGTTTGAAAGCACTCACATCTATCCCGAGATCTGTTTTCTCGTTGCCTTTGCTTATACTTCAGGCAATTTAATTTCATATAACTCAATGCTATTTTCCTTAACCCTGAAACTAGACAGTGGTAAAGAGGAATCAGTAGTGCAGTCCATCCACTCTTCACAGAAGCCACTTGCTGACCACTTTCCGGTGGTGCACGTATTTGCTTGCAACAAGAAAGATAATCAGTTCTTTCCAGACTGAAGGCATGGGGCCTGACCCTGCAGCTATTTTGCATCTAGAACTGCTTCACAGTTATTTCACACCAGCCTAAAAAGATACTGATACCAAAGTGCTGTGGTATGAACAAGATTCACCAGCAGGACAAGGATCAAGATTAAAAACATTAAGAAGTCATTGTTAAAATTGCTAACCCCTAACTGAGGCCCTTTTTGAAGTTCTGTGAATGATCCTCCCTGGTAGCAGCATCCTATAAAGTTAATTAACTTGAACATTGTTGACAATTTTTTAAAAGTTTTGGTAAGTGAGATTGCTAATACTAGAGAAAAATATTTAATCTACACAACTTCATTGATTTATCGTTAACTTAGAAACAAGAGATGAACATTTCCTATTGGAAGTGGCATATGACCTTCGATTATTAGAGAAAAATCACTGTGGAACTACCTGGATAATACCAGAAAATATCTGACACTATTTTATAGGAATGGCACGATATGCAAACAGGCACCGTCTTTTACTAGATCAAACACTGCATAAATGCTGCGTTCTTCCAGCTGTTTTTCCCTCTCCTCACCAAGGTCTGAAAAAGGAATTGTTTGTTTTGCTTCATTTGCATTCTGCAGTCTGATAAAAGTTATTTCTCCCTACAGGCCTTATCTCAGTAGACCATTATAGCTGCCTTGTTTCTTCCAGTAACTAGTAGGAATGCAGTTGGTCCTCAAGGAACTGGTATATCTTGTATCTGCTGGATGTACAGGAACTTCCCTCACAAAATGCAACAAGAACGCAGACCCCTGCGAGGTCTGAGGGAGGATACTGATAACAAACAAGCACACAGGGACTCTGCTGGAAAGAGACAAGAGGCTGACTAAGTCTGGTTTGGTACAGAGAACTCCTAACTACAACAGACAACATTATTCAATACATTCATAAATGACCTGGATGAGGGAATGGAGTGCACTGTCAGCAAGTTTGCTGATGATACAAAGCTGGGAGGAGTGGCTGACACGCCAGAGGGCTGTGCTGCCATCCAGCGAGACCTGGACAGGCTGGAGAAATGGGCAGACAAAATCCTAATGAAATACAAGGGCAAGTGTAGGGTGTT